AGAAAGGAAACATGTTCTGAGTTTTTAACATTACAAACGCTTACCAATTCGTCAAAAGAAAAAAAGCTGTTAGTTTATGTTTTACGGTTGTGGTTACAATACTGTTATGGTACGAGGATGGCAATAAACTTAAGCTTTCCAGGTAACGCAATTGTGAATGCTATTATTTATTATTTGGTGAAAGACCTCATAAGACCAAACTTATCTTGATCCAAAATAATGCCCATTGAACATGGCCTCATACTCTTTTGGGTTCCATGACAATAGTTTGACACCACAGTCATGGTACGGTATCTCCCAAACCTGGCTTTTGCTATGTCCGAAACTACGAAAAAATCTCTTGCTTAAAAAAAACTGTAATTCATTTTGTTTCATAGCCAGCGTTGAACAGCCGACGCTTACTGAGTTTACGTCTATAAATGTGTTCAACTCCGTAGATTTGTAATTTTGAATCCAATCTAAAGAACAAGGGAGCTACTGGAGCAAGCATTGAGATAACTAGAATTAACGAAGGACTTTTTGATGGAACTAATCCGTATTTGTGTTACAAGGAGAGGACAAGCATGAAAACCTCCCATGGTTTGCTCGACGTTAAGAGGATTCTAACCAGTGATCCATCAATATTTATAGGATATTTTATTTCTGCACTGAGTTGTGACCCGGTCGTTGTTATGACCCGGGAGCAGAGTTCGTATCAACCAGGTACCGCTAGGATGCAAACGTTGGTCGCTTTATTGGGAGGCAAATGCTCTATCTCCTGTGCCTATTCGGCTCAAATCCATATATTTTCAGGCAGGCTGATTTTGGTGTTTTACTGGCTGTTTCAATTGCTATGAAGTTCGAGTCAAGAAACTTTTTAACCTAATAAAGACATAGCAGGATGAGTAGGTGTTCATAAGAATCAGTCACACATTTTTGAAGCATAATGAGTATGTAGTTGGCACCCTTCTTTTTCAAGATGTTGCCATCTTGAAAAATTAGGTTGTTAACAGCATATTCTTCATGAAGATGTTATCTGATTAACATATTCATTCATGTTAGTGGTCACCTCTGTGAGCAAGTTACGATTCTGAATAAGGAAAAATATCTCCAAAAACATCACAGAAGCATCTCCATTCATGATTTCTCTAAAAGTGAAAATTTTTTTGTCCTTTGAGCTTAACTAATTAAAAGGAAAAATTTCTATTTTTTAAAGTTCAAAATAAAAAAATTCACAATTCGGTAAAACTAGCAAAAAATTACTACTTGAGTTTAAATAATTAAGTAATTAACGAAAAAAATAGTATTACACAGTCACAACAAATATAAATAATAGGATATGTTTCAATTTTTTTTTTGTAGATGGTACCTCCACAAATTATTAAATATATTACATTACATTTCTCTTGCATTACAGCCAACTTCAAAATATTCTGACTTTTTTGTTAAAATATTTAGCGTTTCTTTTCATTAAAAAATATAAGCCAGTTTATTAAACTGAGTTGTAACCAAACTCTGTTACCAAACATGGTTAAACTGAGTTTTACCATGCTTGGTAACAGAGACCTTGATAGATTGGATTTCTCAAATCATGTTGCTGACTAGAGTTCATTTACTTCACTTATTTATCACATATTTTAAAAAAATTCCAAAGAGTATTGTTTTCTATACATAGAAAGTATTGGAAGGTTTATGAGAAACTTAAAACTGATGTTTTTCCGTGTTTGCAAAACATACCCTAAAACAAAAGCTTGTAAAGAATAGTGTAGTGGCCCATTGTATTCTAAGAAATTTGAATCCCTTTGTTTAATATTACTTTCAATTTTCTTTCTAAAATTTTATTCTTTCATATAAAATAGAAAATTTCTAACAATGCATTTTATAAATAGTTGCATAGTAATATGAAAACTATTTAAACTCATTTTCTGTTTTTCGATATAGGATGTATGTAAAATTTAGCTCGTTTGAATTTTTGAAGGAACATGACAAATATAAAACCTGAATAATGTAGATTACAGCGAGGCTAAGAATAATATATATTATTGAAATGGTTTTGTATACTCCTTTGTTGTTCAGTGTTTAATACATTGTCTAAAGAAAGATTTTTCTTTTTCTAAAAAAATAAATGCATGTTGCATAGAATTTTTGTTTGAAAGAGAAGTAAATATGTAAATTTTTGTTTTCTGGTTTTTTATCAAGCAAAATTTGCTTTTAAATGAAGGAAATTAAATGAAATTGTTTTCCGTTTTTTGAGAGCAAATATTTCACTTAACATTTCAAGATATATATTAGGTTTTGAATTTAAAGTTTACATGCAAAATTTAGTATATTTTAATTCTTGAAAAATCTCCTTCGTAACTAAATAAAGAGAACAAAGTGCAATAATAGAGCTACAACTATGCATCCGCTCATCATTGTATTAAGTCGTGAGACGATTCTGCTACGACATTCATCAGATTCTTGTGATAATTTATGCACTAGTTTATTACTTAATATTAAATAGTTCATAACCAAGATTTTTCCATCCACTGTTATAATATGCCATTAAATTCCTATTATTACAGCTACACGTAAAAAAAAATTCCGGCAAAATTACCGTACTTTATGATAATGGTATTTCTGGTAAAAAAAAATGTACGATATTTAGGCCATTCATTTGGTAATTTTTCCGCTCATATAGTAACGGTTTATGGGAATTCTGGTTAGCAAAATTATAGTTCTTATTACCATACATTTAGTAAAAAATACAAAACTAAAAAGAGGAATAAATGGTTTTTGATTCATTGCTCCAAGGAATTGTGATAAAATTGCCAAATTTTGTCGTATTTAGCAAATTTCATTGCATATTATAAAAATATATTTTATTGAGAATTTTACCAAAATTCTTACAAAAGCTCTTCGTTAAAAATTAGCCAGGCTCTTGGTGTGGCTATAGAGCCAGAAACATGGTAAATTGTTACCTATTTCAGTAGTTTTGACCATATTTTTTTTCTAAGGTCATGCAAGGGAAATATTGCAATACTAGATTTATAGTTGTGGACAGCTGTTTGATAATAATCTCGTTGTTCATTATATTAACTGAAATACTTTTAATGATGGAATGTATAATTACTTAGTTTAAAACAATTATCGCAGTCATCGATCAACTGTGTAATTGGACCTGTTACAAGAGGCCAATATAATGGAAAAATAGATTAAAGACTATGAATTTGTATATTTTTGTGCTTTTAGCAAAATTGATGGTTCAATATTTAATCGTATTATTGGTATTTTTAGCCTTATTTTCCTAAAAATTTGTACTGCTATTTTAATAAGATGTTTAGTTGATTCCATTGTGCGTCTTTGAATAAAACACAGTAATATGTAATATGAGATAGAATTTTAGCAGTTTAAAAATATGCTAAAAATATTTCTGGAAATGCGTTTTGAGGTTTTGTTTCTGCTTTAAATGTCAATTTCAGTAAAATAAAAATTATTTGTAACAAATTTTATCTCGTTTATAGAACGGCACACAAATCTACTTAAATAGATAATCTATTAAAATAAATAAACAATACAACAAAAATAATGATTCGATATTGTATAAATGTATTAAAAATACTTATACACCATTTATTTATTTTCTATCAGCCTGTTTTCATCAAATGAAAAAAGTAATGAATAAAATGAATTTTGTCTTTAAGTAACTGAGGTTACTGGGTTGGAAAAAATATCAATTTCAATTTTTACCTTTTTATTTTTTTTCAGAAAAAATAAAGTTTCTAATTCCTCAATATTTTTATTTTTTTACAAAAAAAACTTTACCTGCACATTTAGTGAATGTCACCAAGTATTAGTTGAATAAAGCTCTTGAAATGAATAATTCATAGAATTTTATCAAATTTTCCTTTAGTAATGATAAATGTTCGTTTCAGTTGACGTATCCTGTTCCACAGCAAATGCAAAGAAGAAAAATATTTCCCAATTTTTGGGGATTAAATATTGGCAATTTCCTTTTACATTTTGTTGATAATTTACTTTATCAGAAAGTGTATTTCAAAATCATAAATTTTGCATCGGGAGTAAAATAAAAATGTTATATTATCCTTTTGTGTTTTTGCTAACATTTCTTTTTTTAAAAATTATATTTTACTGCAATTTTAATATATTATTGATAATCATTTTATTTCGAGCAATTAGAAGGAACATTTACTTCGAAACATTTAATAGTGAAAATTGATTTTAGTTTGATTTTGATACGTTCATTCTTCAAAATTCAGGAAACATATTTTGTAAGTTTATTAAGTACATAAATTTTTTGTTTTCATGAAATTGTCTGAAATTAAAAGCTTGTTTTGGAATTTACATTTATGTTTTATAAATTTATTATTTTTTTTAATGAAACTAAAGATAAATTTCAGTAACTTAGTTACTGAATTTATTATAGATAATTTGATTAAAACATATTTATTTTATTATTACCTGAAAAAATACTGACTGTATTTTCTATTTATATGAAGCAACAAATTGAGATCTTTGGTTTCAATGCTTTTTTTTCGCAACAATACGTATATTATACTTATATTTTTTGATTTATTTTATAAACAGCAAAAAGCGAAATATAACTTTTAATGTTCATTTCTAGTGTCTTAAGGGACAACTAGTTCATTTCTAGTTTTTTGCGTCTTCTAGAGGAGAGTATTTTATTAAATTTTCTTTCAAAAATAAAGCTTGTAATATTTATTTACAATCAAGTACATGTTTAAATTTTCGCAATTTGATTGAATTGTTGTGCATCTTTTAATGTTATCATTCATATGTCACTTCCATTCGTAATGTTATCATTCAGTGTTATTATCAATTTTAAGATGTTATCATCTTATCATTTAGCAGATGTTATCATTAAGATGTAATGTTATCATTCTTATGTTGTTCGGATTATTTTACTCTGAATTTATATTTTTCGCTACTTTTTTGAAATATTTGTTCATTGAAAAGTTATAGCTCAGAGTAAATAAATGTTTAAATGTAATAAAATTTTGAAAAAGAAAGGATTTATTTCAAAAACATGTACTCAGTATTTACATATTTCTACAAAATTGTACAAAGTGTTGGCATCTTTCAGTCTAATACTAAATAGTTTTTCCAAGTTTTATCGACCATGATGATGTTCTTGCATCAGCTTAACAATTAAACCAGCAGCCAGCATTTCGAGAATACGGTTGTCGTCGCCTTTATGATGATGAAAAGCCAGTGCTGTACCATGTTCTGAAATGATGCAACTCAGGGACAAAAAGGCCAGGACTGCAATGAGAAAGAGGCTTTTGTGGTTCATTTTTCCGCTCCCTGAAAATAAATTTCTGTTTTTTTATTGTTGCAAATGTTACTAAATTAAAATTAATTTAGAAAGTAACTATATATTCTATTATATTTCATGAAATATTTATATAGTTACTTTAGGAAAGACAAAATTCTAAATTCTGAAAGGTAGTTAAGCTATAATTTGATCACTACAGAGTGCAATTTAGGTTTTAGGTTGGATATTAACTTAGTAAATCGCAAAATAGTTTAAATTCTATGTTAATTACATTCAAAGATTTTTTTCAGGAAACAAATGCATTTTAATTTATAAAACATGCACTTAGTACACGAAACTATGATTCGAATACTTACGTTACAGATTTGAAGATTTATATACAATTTATATACAATTCATATATAATTTCAAATTAGCCTAAATAGTATTAATGATAGCTTGTTAATTCGAACTATGATTCAAAGTTTTGTTCCATAAATTGATAACATTATGATGCTTTCAAGTTTATAAATTATACCATGCATGAAACTTCAGGTCTAAATGTACTAGCCAGAATAAAATTTTTGTTCACAAAAATGGGAATATTTTCAAATTTTTAACACACGTAATTTAAAGAACTGTTTGGTAGCCAGAACTACAAAAAATGTAGAAACTGAAAACTGTAAAATATTGTAGTTCAAAATTTTATTATTCTGAAGAATGATTGAAAAACTCTTTGAACGCTTCTCACTGTTAACGGTTCCAGTATATGAGTCCCTATCAATGGAAAGAACTTATATCTGAATTCTGTCTATTATGATAACACAAAAATCACTTGTTAATTAAATAGAATTTGGTTTAATTACACACTGTAGAAAGGAGTTTTTCAAAATTGAGCAAAATACCTCCGAAACTAAAAATAGTCAATTTTGTGATCTTCATGTATTTAAAATGAAACAAAATATACTCATCTTTGAGCAAAATATGTAGTCCTGAAGAAAGGTGGAGGAAGAAATGTGCGAACCTAGGACCTCTGTACCTAGGGCCTTATTTAAACGATATCCGGATTCTAAGATGCTTTTACCACCATATCTGTTAGGAATAGTAGCCACAATGACACATCGTAGCCTACTAACTTCCAATTCCCATGATATAAAGGGTTGCAATTTTAAAAATATAAAAATAGGGTCCTCATAGTTTAATCAGGAGATTAGTAATTTCAATTTCATTTTTCGTTTATTTCGTGATATCTCAAATTTTTTAAAAATAATAGAATGCATAAAGCTTTCTGACTCTCATTGGACTAGTTTGTACAACTATGGTCGTTATGTTACAGCATCATATTACGAACTCAGAGGTTCTTGGTTCGAATCCTGCCGGCTGCCATCGAACGTGTCTCTCACACATTTTTTTTCCACATCACTTCTGTGACTGGGCATCTTGTTCAAGAATGTATTTTTTTTCCTGTTTTCAATAGTAATTTGTGAACCTCAGTTTGCGTACTTTTACATTTCACTTTTGAAAAAGTCTCCAAAATATTAAGGGCGTCATTACGGTATACATTGCATATTATATACATTGTTTAAAAAATCAAGAATTTTTGATTAAAAACATAAAATTTGTTTCATTTATTATGTATCTATATATAATATATAAAGATTTTTCTGCTTCTCAATTACATAAATACCATTATATTTATACTAGTATAATTGTAACAAAGTGAATGAAAGAATTTATTTAGCAAATTTTAAGCACAAAAGTAAAAAAAAAGTATCTTGTCAGTCATCTATAGACGAATAAATTCGTTGAAATAATTTGCTTTTCTTTTTCTTTTCATCTTAAAAGAGGATGCTCTGCTTAAATAAAATATCAATGTTTAAGCGTATTTCAGTATTATTTTAAAGAGAACCAGAAATTATAAGATAAAATGCACGCTGTAAAAATTCTGATGTAACACCTATCCGAATTTGGCATTGAAAAACTCTTATTGCTTAAATGTATATCAGTATCAATTTAAGGAGAACGAATTAGAAATTATATTATAAAAAGCACACTGTAAAAACTGTGACGTAACACTTATCTGAATCTGGTGAACTCTAAATATTATTTAAATGATAATTAATATAATTAACCAATTTTGTATAAATTATTATTATATGTTTAACCCATTAAATGTTTCACTGCTCCAGGAACTATTCTTTGCTCTGTGGTAGTATGGAACATCTCAACTTACTCAGTACGTAGTACTTAGTACATAATACTTAATGAGACATCACTTTGGTGTAAAGTAATTGCCATCATTCAGCTGCAATTTAAAGTAATTGCCATCATTCAGCTGCACTTTAAAATCTTTTACAGTGCAGCTGAAGTTATCTTCATTTTTAAATACTTGATTAAAGGTATATTTATGTGTTAAAGTAATAATTACCAAGTTATTTATTCTTCAAAACTTAAAAATACTAATTAAATTATTATAACACGAAACGAAAGATACAAGTTTATGCTTTCGAGGTCAATGCTTTGATAAGGATTAAACTTCTTTAAACGAAAAACAAAATTACAGCATTAAGTATTATTAATTTATAGTTATTCAGTATTAATCAGTACTTTCTTATTAATTTAACATACATTTTTTTAACTTTAACATTCAATTGTAATCATTTATGTCTTTAAATGATAACTTAATTTAGTTTTATAATTTTTATTATGTAACGAAACATTAGCTTTATACCTATTATAATAACATGGAAAAATGCTTAATATTTCTTGGTCAAAGGAAAAATAACACTCATCGTTAAAGAACAGTAATTTATCTTATACCATGAAACAGCATATTAAATATTGAGACTTTTTTGGTAGAATAATATTGATCAGTACTTTTATTACTTAAATAATTTTTCTTTTTATTTAAGCGTAGAATTATAAAAATTAAAATTATAAAATTAAAACGCAATTTAATCATATTTAATATCTGTTATAATAAAAGAGTTTTAACTTAAACTATAAAACAAATTAAGCACATTAATTATTGGTTCCTTTTGGTACCACCTTAATTATTAGTTTTTTATTATTGTAAATGAGATTTCGTGACTGCAAAAGATTTTTATTTATACATAAAATTTTATAGAAATACCTTAAAAAATATTATATTATACAATTACGCCATGATTTAATTTTTATGTTCAATTCTGTAAAATTATAAGGAAAATATTATGGCTGTAGATAAATAATCAAATTTAAAAATTTGATTTTTGCTTATTTTTTTAAATATTTTAAATGGTAGTATAAAATGACATCTACCTCTTAGTATAGAATGACATCTGCGCACACACAAGTAAACCTGAATTGTATTACAAATTCAAAATGGTAAAATGACGCGTGGTGAAAAATAAGAAAATTGTGCAAAGTACGTGGGGACCCGTATTTATTTAAAGGACTCTCCCCCACCCTTTTAGTATTTTTAATTATCTGGAGAATTTTTTTTAAATTGTTTAAAAATTAAACAAAAATTAAAAATTAATTTATTAGATAACAATTACATAAAGTAGAGCTCAATTGAATGATTTTATTTCTTAAATAATATTTAAAAATGTATCATTCTTGCACATTTGTATGTCAAAAATGTATATCAACAGATAAATGTTGTACGGTACCGCAGATTTGGAGAAAAGAATTGTTTTTTAAATTAATAGATATTTTAAGCTTAACTTAAGATTTTTTTATAACTAAAAGTTATTTTATGGTGTTTTAGAAATATATAAATAAGTTTCTCTTGTATTGATCTAATAATTGCTCTGATTATTCCATTGGAAAAGAAATTTAATTGAATATATATTTAGAAAATTGTTCTATATATATTTAGAATATATATTTAGAAAATTGTTTGTCTATAAAACTTTAGATTTTAATAAAGTATTTTTGACCAAAAATATGTAAAATTCTTGCTTTGAAATCGAAAATTCATGGTGATGTATTTTTTTTTATGCATCTGAAAACAGAATTTTACAGATTACTTTTTAGTTTGTTTCTTTGGCCAAAAACAAGACCCAGGCCAAAAACTAAACTAATTTTAAGAGTTATTTTGCTCTTAAACCCACAAAGGGTGAATGTGACTTCTCCTTATTTTATGTACGCTTTGATCCAATTTAAAAATATTCTATAAAATTTTTTGATAAATTTGTAGGAATTTGATGTAAATAAGTCAGATTTCTGCTGTTAACGAATTTTAAATAAGTTTTTTTAGCTATAATTATTTTGAATTATTTTTGCAAATCATATTTAGTTAAGTTAAATCTAACATATTGTTCGAAGATGCAATCAAATGAAATTACGCGATTTATATTCTTTAACTATGAAGTAATATTATGTGTAATATATTCCACACATTTAATTTTTTTAATATTCTTGAAATTCTAGTTGTTAAGAAGATTAAAAAATAGTAATTAAAATAAATGCATATCATATTTTACGCTAATCAACTTTTAATGTTTATTTAAAAAATGTGAATATGACATTTATTCTTCGTTAAAAGTGCCCAATAGTTTAATTTAAACTTGTTTTTTTTTGCTGTTAAAATTTTGTAAGTAGATATTTATTCTTAAGGAATACAGAAATAGACAGGTTTTCTTAAAAAAAATGTAGTTAAGTAAATTAGATTCATAAATAAAGCAGTTCATGAACGATGTAAATATTTAACACATCTTATTTTTTTAATCCCAACAAATAAAACTTTGCAGAACAAAAAATTTTGTTTTTTAAAATGAATAGAAAGTAATTTAAATCGGATTTCCCTTCGTCTAAAAATGTTCACGCATAACTTAATTTTAAGAGAACTCAACTCCTGTAATGCTTTGATTAACTATAATAGAATTTCTCCAAAATGCTTTAAATGCATTGCTTTTTTAACCAAAAAAAATTGTGTGCTTGTTCAATTATTTTGTTTCTAGGAAGAATGAAACAAACACATTATTTAAGAAAAAAAATTAATAGTGTAATTATTAAATAATAAATTATAGAGCATTACTTTTAAATTTTAAATAATATTAATAATTTTTATATTTTAAATTATTTAAATACATTTTTCCTTTTTAAATAATTTTTTCAAAAGACAAAAACATTTATGTTCTAAACATTACTTACTTTAAAGAAAACCTTACTCGTATTGAGAACTGATTGATTATGACCGAATCTGTGCGAGATGCCTTATATATAAAGGTTAAAAAAATACATACGATACCGATTACTTTCAGTTATCTTGATTAATAAACCCAGAAAAACCACATTGTTTCTGATTAGCTAACTCCTCCCATTTCAGCACCATCTAGATCAAGAAAACAAATCCCACGTGACTATAAAAATCACCTCCAGACAATGCCTAATGCATCTCCATAAGCAGAAATTAGTTCTTCGTACCACAAAACCCATCATGCTTGAAGATACACCGCAAAAGAGGGAAGTTTTTGGAGATTTCATTAAGTTCTTCAGTGAAATCAATTCTCAGGAACCCATATTTCCGTACCACCGAGGAATGAATTGATTTACAAAAGGAATATTTTATTTTTAGCCGCGTTCTTTACTTATCTGATTTTACATTTTGAGAACTTTTTATTTTTTCCCCTCTTGCAGTCACTTAGATGGACTGATTTTTGTGAAATTTTGTGACGCTTTTTCACGACGTTCATTTGGTAATTGGTTTTGATTTTTAAAATAGGAAAGAGGCTTATATAATATAATTTTAGAAAAATATTATCAGTTGATTTTTAAGGTGTATGTACTCGTAAATATTTTTATGCATTCAAACTGTAGTAAAAAAACGCTGTATTTTAAATTGAAAAATAAAAATAAATAAAAACATCACTCAAGTGAGGAGCAGTTTTTATTCTTACTTCGGTTACAGTTATTATATTTTACAGAATCATTCTAACCTGTCGGTCACGATCAGTTATTGATGTTGCGATCAGTTCCTCAATTTATTATTTTCAATAATTTATTATTTATTATTTTATTTGGGATCTTTTTGTAACTGATAACTTCTGTAGAACAGATAACATTCATTTCTTTCCAGACCACAAATAATTCCATTTTTCTTTGATTTTTTAAAATATTGACTGTGTAAAAATAGTGGTGTAATACTCTCCGAATATGATATTGAACAACCCAAAAAAATGTGTGAAGGAACACTTTATTACGGGTTAACACCAATTCGAGCATTCATATACGATTTGAAGGGTGTAGTTTAAATTGAATACTCTTACACCGAAATCTCGTGCTTTGACAAAAAATTTTTCACGAAAATTTTTTTCATTTACGAACATGCCACTGTTGGTGCTCTTTGAATATCAAGAAACGCCACGTAGAATATCACGATTAGTTTGCTTACAATCTGGCAAGGATTCTGTAATAAACTGGCAAGGATTTGTTGTCATTTTTATCGCTGCTTTTCATTCAGAAATTCGCTGTTAAATATGTGCGTATGATTTTAGTTATAAAAAAATAGAAAAATATTTGTTAATTTTTAAATATCTTAGAAATGTATTAACTGATTTTATAATTTATAATTTCTATCCGCTTCAATTTAGTAAGTTTAATTTGAGTTTGTTTTGATTCTCCCTTTGTTTCTCAGATGCTGAGTTTACAAACTAATTTTATTTTAAGACTAAGTGTGTATATATGCATTCAAAATTAATGATTCTTACTTTATATTGTATAGTAATAATGACTTTATCAACTCTGTATCTTATCTTATTGCAATAATAAATTTTAATGTTATTGAATAACAAAAATGGTGGGATCTATTTTGCACCAAGTAGTATAAGAAAGCATTTGTGTAATGAAAGATTAGATCCAAGAGCTAGGCATGCTTCAATACACCACTTTGGTGTAAAGTAGTTGCCACCATTTTTTGGTTTTGAGATACACACATTTTTTTCTTCAGTTTATGTACTTAAACTATGCTAAATAAATGCTATAAATGATTGAATGATTCTGGCCGTTCAGTCGTGTTCAGTTATTGACGTCACGATCAGTTCTTTAAGTTATAGACGAGTACTGACGTTATTTTTTTTAACTGTTAACTTCGGTGGGCAGATAACGTTCATTCATTTGCAGACCACAGACAATTATTATTATTTTTTTAAATTTCTTTTTTAAAAAATTGAGCTTCAAATTACATTTACCATTTTGAATGTTCATGATTTATGTTAAATAAATGCTATTTGTATTTGAACTATGCATGTATGTACTTGAACTATGTTAAATAAATGCTAGAATCATTCTGCTCCATCAGTCGTGTTCAGTTAGTTATTGACGTCATGATCAGTTCTTTAAGTTATTAAGGAGTAATGATGTTATTTTTGGCTAGACAAATAACATTCATTCATTTGCAGATAATTATTTATTTTTTGATTTCTTTTTTTTTAAAATTCAGCTTAAAATTATATGCACCATTATGATTTATGTTAACTAAATGCTATATGTACTTGAACTATGTTAAATAAATACTATGAAAGCTAGAATCATTCTGTCCGATCAGTCGCGTTCGGTTATTGGCGCAACGATCAGTTCTCTAAGTTATTGACGAGTATTAACGAATATTGACGTTCATTCAATTGCAGACAACAGGCAATAATTTATTTAATTAATTTTTTTAATGCATTTTTTTAAAAAAATTGAGCTTTAAATGATATTTATCATTTTGAATTTTCATGTTTTACTATCCAATGCCCGATTAATTATCGATTTCAAAAGTTTATCTTAAACGATTAAAGGAATCAAATATTTGTAATACTTTGGGTTCTAATGAATTCGTAATTTTGATTTTCAACTATTCAATTTCAAATTTTAATAACATTAAAATACCAACTCGCAAATTTTGTAATATTTTTACTAATTTCAAACCAGTTTAATGTCAGATAAAAATTCTGAACACCATGTTGAATTTTCTATTTTTAATTTTTAAAGTTAGTCTCATAAAATACGCTAATAACAATTAAACATTCTCCATCAATTTTTAAAGAATTTTTTCAATGTCTCCTGGGACGTTTGTGAGACATATTGGTTTCGCTAGCCTTAATTTGAAATATTGGATAGCAGATTTGAAATTGACGAAAAATAATATTTTATACACTTCCTAAAGCTCATTTGCAATTATATTAAGAAACAATATATGGTGAGACTAAGACTTCTTTTATTCAAAATATATAAAGTGTATTTTTAAACCATCCGTTTGTGGATTTTGGAATGATGTGAGGCAATACACCAATTATGTCACACTTTTTCAATATTTAAACTCCATTGTTTGTCATTGACATTACTGATTGACATTGTTTGTCATAAAATGTCACACCATGTTACACGTCTCTCTGAATTACATAAACACGTAATTGCAACACAGAAATAACGCCTTTTTATAGATTCAAATTTTAATTTTAAGCTTTTATTATTTTTCCTCTCGTTTTCAAGCACCATATCATTTGTGAACAGTCCCTTTTCAAAATATTCTGAAAACAAACAGACACATTACACGTCACATTGATATTTTTAATTACTGAATCAAATACAAAAACGTACTTTTTCTTTTAAAAATGTTTTTTTTTGTCAGACTTGGAATTTTTACCTTCAAAATTAGAAGCTACACCCTGAAGAATATTGTTCCAATAATGGACAAGAATGTGTTGAAACGTTAAGATGTTTGAGACCCTTAATATTAGTTTTATATTTTGCAGTATTTCTACCTTCCTCTGAAACTATTCAAACAAATTAAATAGTTATTATATGCAATAGAATCTTGTTTCTCCAAAATAATTTCATACGAATATAATACTTTTTAATTGTTTATTAACTTTCATTATTTAATGCTGTTTAATTTTGAATGACAAAATAAGAACATCGAAAAACAAAATTAAACCGAAAAGTTTTCAAAAACATTCTAAAATGCGTTTTTTTTTAAAAAAAAATTTACTAATTGATAATTTTAATTTAAAAATTATTAAGCTTTACTACTAATAATATTAATGAGTAATAATTAATAATTTTTAAATTAAAATTATTAATTATTACCAAGAGACAAAAAAATGAATGTTTTAACTTTTTCAAAAATATTATGAAAATAGAGAAGCATTTTCGTGAAAAAAAAATTATTTTTGGAGAAAGTGGGAAAAACATATGGTCCTTGATCGATCCAGATAATTGGACAATCCGGTAAATTGGTGTTCAGATAATCGGTGCTCTACCGTATATAATTTTTTACTTATTACTTGGCAGTATATATATAAATTTTTTTAGCAGTTATAAAAAGATTAAAATGGTGAAGCTTTTCTCAAAAACAAAAGCATTAAAAATTTCATAGTAGAAACTAAAAACAACTTAAAAACTATTTAACTGATTTTCACTAAATTTTATCTTCTTTTAACTCTATATATTTCACATATGCTATAAGAGTTACTGACCTTAATAAATTTAAGTATTACTTAGTAGTAGTACATACTAAATTTAAGTAGTTTTTATTTGGCATCATTAAATTTAGGCTTATTTTTCTCTGAACAACAATGACCTTTGAAACTTTGATACTATTTTAAGCTCCAATTTTATCTTCAAAATATTATGAGGAACTTACATGAAATAAAACAACTTTCATTAAAAGCGTTGGTTTTCTTTTTAATTCTTCATAGAAATTTTCAATGGCGAATTGCGTTCCCACTGAACTCTTTTTGCTATCAAATAAACATTTTCTGTTCTGTCATGCGTTATCATTATGGGCAACAGACCAAATCCAAACACAAAGAATGGTTGAGGAGTAAATTACTTTCCTGATATTCTAACATTAGCTTTTGAAGCTTTTGTTAAATTATTCAGCGGTATAACTGTGTTATCAAAATAATGGCACTGCCTTTAGTGCAATAGAGCAGAGTTTCCAAAATGGTGATCTGAGGAACCCTTAGGGTTCTGCGGATGAATCACATGAATTCTGAGAGTTAGGAATTTTTTTGAACTGGTAATAGTTTTTAAACCTTGTAATTAAATTTATATCCATTTAATAATCCATTATTTATTTAATATTTCCCTTACTTTTATGACATTATTTAGTTAAAATGCTTGTCGAAATAATGTTTTTTTCTAACAGCAATATAATGAATGAATGATGAAAAGGATATAGGGTAAACTAACCAGTAAAGGAACACTTAAGCTTCGCTTGCGTTTTAAAAAATCACATTAATTTCCAAATTCGTAATTTCAGTTAAATGACAGTGTCAACAAAATTTGTTACTAATTGCAAATTATGTAAAAAAATTGTAGAGAACTTACATAATATTGTTTTAAAGTTTTGGAGGTTCAAATAACAAGTAGTAAGAAGACCAAGTGAAGGAACAGCTC